AAATTATATTATGTAGTAATTCTCACAGATTCAACACTACTTTATACATGCATATACATTATTAACCAAGGAATAACATGTCAATATCAGTATCGGGTTCTACTTCAATCTAATAAAGCCATATTTCATATGGATTTTAATCATATGCGTTAGTTTGAGTCTACTACCTGAAACATCAAATTACGTTATAATTGCTTAAGAAAATAAAACTTACTCAAACAAACTGTTGAATTACATTGATCAAATCTGAGCTGGTAATGTTTATACATCAACTATTAAGAAAAGGTTGATAAAAGGATCGAATTTAGTAGTATAATGTCTGTAATGAAAACTAGTGTTCAAATTACTGTGGCAGAGAGTACAACAGGAGAACTAACTAGACTACTTACACAATTTATAATGAAATATTAATGCAAAACAGGGCTTAATGTCAGTGAAGCTCAAGAAGTTTCTTCTTTTGACAGTATAAAGAATGATTACTAATGACAACCTTTAGAACTATTAGATAATAATAGTATTTCAGAGATATCAAATCCCGAGTATCACAAGCCAAAAGATCGTTCCCTAAAATGCTATAAAGCACTAACAGAAATGACTAATAATAATCAACATATATCTTCATCTTCCAAGACGTGTAATTATTGTCAAGAAAAAGGTCATAATATTAGAAGTTGCACAAAAAATAAAGCTTTTAATGTCTAAAAAAAAAGTTAGAAGCTGCGCGAAAAATAAAGCTTCTAATGTCTAAAGAAAAAAGTTAGAAGCTGCACGAAAAATAAAGCTTCTGTAGATTTTTTCGATAAAAACATGCCTAAACAAGTCTTCATAGTATATATGCTATTTTTCAGAGATATATGCTATATACGTTATGCAATATTTGATTGGTTTAATATTAACAGATTTAGAATGATTAGCAGAGATTTAAAAAGTATAGCAAATTTAGAGTAAAGGCAAATTTTCATTAGGATTCGAGAGGATTTTAAATGTTTAATAGCTTTTTGTCGTCAATATTAAATAAACATTAAAATAAAATAAAAATAAATGTTTGCGATAAATTTATTTGTCTATTATAATCATATGATAAATATTATCATATAACACCGGTGATGATCATCACCAGTGATAAATAGCAAACTCCTATTTTTAAATTTTTAAAAGTTTTTCAAATTCTTCCATTAAATATATTAGCCAATTCTTATTTGTTATTAGGTTTATTAGTTCACTTTTACATGATTCTTCAAAACTTCTATATTATATAATTATTATAATTTTTTTTTTAATATTTATAATAGGAAAATAATCAATAGTCTATACAATTGTCCTTCATTTATAGGTACCTATTTTGTAATAATATTATTATAATAAAATTTTAACTTACTTATCAAATAATTTAGGTAATCTTGAAATACTTATTTATAAAGCTTATCAGTTAGCAAATCTTTTATATATATATTTTATAACATTTTTTTTTATAAATTACCAATTTAATTAATTATCAATTTTAAATTTTTGCATATCATATACAAAAATTTCAAAAATGTTAAAAAAGTATCTTTATCAACCAAGATCAATATATATCTAATAAATTTTATAAGAGAGTCAATTATTGTATTAGCTAGCCGATACTTCTCTTGAAATTTAAAAATTTTGTATATAATCTATATAAAGCTTATGTTAATATCTAAAATTAGGGATTAAGCATTTTCATTTTCATTATTATATTCTAAAATATCAAAATTGATATATTATTCTAGATCATTTTTCTTTTGCTATTTATAATTATTATTATCATTAAAATCAGAATTATTATCAGATATATTGATATCTTTATCACTATTATATAAGTTCTACTTAATTATTACTAATAAATATCTATAATCATTATGATTATATTGCTTTGCTTTATATTTTAGAATTTTTGATAAGAAATTCAAATTCTTTTTGTTATTTTTTTACCACTAAATTTGTTGTTATTATAATTATTTATTTTATCTATCTTTATTAAATTATCTAAAAAATTAATAAGATTATGACTTTAGTTTGTATCTTCTTTAGTAAATGATCTGATATGACTTTTGTCTAATATTCTTTTTTTTATATATATAATTCTTTCATTATTATAGGATTAATTATCAAATAACAATTTATTAAATATTAATTATTAGAAAAGTAATTTATTAGATAGCAAAATAATAATTATATAAATGATATATTAGTTAAAGCAAAGTAAGGTCATATGATATAATATAATAAAAGAAAAATATTATTAGACAAATATAATTAGAATAATTAAATAATATAATTAGTTAAGTAGATAATAATTTAATTAGTTAAATGATATAGTTAGTCAAATATTTATAATTAATTATATAAGAAGATAGAATATGAAAGAAACCAGAAAATAGAAACAGAAAACAGAAAAGAAAATAGAAAAATATAGCAAAAAATAAAAATACAGATAGAAATATAACTAAAAACTAGTAAAAAAAATTAAAATAGTTAGCTTATTATCATATAATATTTTCATATAAATATCTAAAAAATTCAAGATAGAATTAGAGATTAACAAGTTATAAAGTTAAAATTTAAAGATTTACAATTAAGTAGTATAATTAGAAATTCATTGTATTTCATTTTTTTAATAAAAATACCTTTATATTAAATAATTATTATTTGTATATCTTAAAGAATTAACAGATTAGAGATAGGTTTAATGAACTGAAAGGAATAATATGATTCATTCTAATTCTAAGTAAGTTTATTGACTTGTATTTTATTGTTTAATATTTTTGAGAATAACATATTATATTTTATGCTAAATAAATCAAGTAGTAGTATTATATGTAAATCAACTTTTGTATTTTTACATATATTATAGTTATATATTTTATTTCAGGTTAAAGGTTTTGAATAGCATATTTTTTCACAGTTAGTTTCATAACTTTAGGTATTTCTTTTACAATAGTATTTTACTTTTACTTGATATAATAATAAAGTTCAGATAATAATATAATTTAATAAAGTTATATTAGTAGTTAATAGTATCTAATAAGATTTAGTGAATCTATTACTGCAGATATAAATAGTTTCAGATATCTACAGTGTAGAATAAAAAAAACCTGGAATTTTTTTTGAGAAATAAAAAGATGCAGATTTTAATCAAATCAAGTTTGATCTAAATTATATAAAAAGGAAAGTAATCGTAAGGTAAGTAAATATATAATTTTTTTTGTATTATTAAATATTAAAATTTTTCATTTCCTCTTCTCAATATTTTCAATTTTTTAAAAAATTTTCAAAATCAATAAATTAGAAATGATGATCTCTAGATAAGAAACTAACTGTCAAGTAATTTTACAATTATAAAATTAGGGTATTCAGAAGGTTAGAAAAATCCATTAACACACTAAATTTCTCTCACAATTATATATGATAATCTTATCAAGTTTTATGAGTCTAAAATGATTTAATGTGTAAAAGAAAGTGGTCGCCTAAAAAAAGATTATAGCTAATGCATCAAGAACATTAGTCTAATTCATTTGCTGAGATTTTTCTATTTTAATAAGAACTCTGTCAATAAAGCTATTATTAAAACGTATGGATGTATTCTAAAAGATAGTAGAAAGGCATTTAGCCAAAATTAGATATCAAAAAGACCTTTCAAGAGTAATGATGATGCTGATTACAGACTATAAGTATAAACGAGTAGAATAAACCTAAAATCATTTTAATGATAATTAGGACAAACTCTATTTTCAGATGAGATTACTTTCTAACTGTTTCAGAATACTGTAGAGCACTAGTATAAAGGATAAAGACTAATATACTTTAAACTTAAAGATCAAATGAAAATCTTTATATAAGGAGGATTTTGTATAAAAGAAAAAATAAATTTATATTGTTTTCTCAAATAATGAATGCTGAATTTTATATAAACATACTTCGTAATTACCTTCTAAAGATTGAAAACTTATTGAGAAATGAATAGTATTTTCAATAAGATAATACTAGTATTCATATCAAAAAATTTCTTTAAGAAAATTGTTCTGAAGTTATTAACTAGCCTTTTAACAGTCTAGACCTAAATCTAATAGAAAACTTTAAGAGTATTATTAAAAAGAATGTAAAGAAGAAAATGTTAAAGAATACTGATTTTTTACGCTATTATATGGTCAAAGAATGGGATAATATTTTAAAATTGACTCTAATTGGATAATATAATTAATAAAATGCTGATGTGAACTTATTATAAAAAATAATAATGAATAAATTCTATTCTAAAAAATATTAATAAAATTAGCTAGTTTTTAGCTTCAAATATATATAAATTTTATGTAGTTAGTGTCATTAGTTTTTGCATAATATGTATTAAAAAATTTCAGTTTTTTTTGTTTTACACTATATATCTAGGTAGTAATTATACAGTAATGTGCTTTTAGATAAGGTATCATATCTCTTAAATAAAATTAGAGATTTAAGAGATAAGCTCTTAAACATGATCTATTTAAAAATAAATTCACAACTTAACCTTTAGCTAACATATATTAATAGGAAAAAAAATTCTAAATATGATTATTATATATAAAAAATTATTATATTAATAGATAAATGTGTAAAAAATTAATATATATTATTATATAGAATATTTTAATCAAAGCTAATTAACATAAAAATTATGATACTTTTTTTATATATTCAATAATAATTAGATTTCAATAAAATTTAAATGTTATTTTATTATATTAAAATGCAGTTACTTGTAAAATTTAAATTTAACATATTATTATATAGGATTTTCTGATCAGAGTAAATTACCTTAAAAAATACGTGAATTTTACGCTATTATTGGCTGTTATAATTGGCTTAATCAATTATACCAGCCAATCGGAGACTGGGGCAAAATGATCGGCAAATGTGATTAAATTCTAATGTTGATCATCACGTGATTGAAACATCCATATAATATATATCTAGCAAATGACCTTGCACAAAATAGGAAGATGATTTTCAAACGCGATTCCAAGTTATCTAGAGAGAATGATTCACTTAAGCAACCAGTTGCACCCACAAATTCAAAACATCTTCCACCTGAATTGAAAAAGTATTAATTAATTTATTTTCTTGTAATGTATGGTGAAGATTCTATAATTTTTTTCTTTTTAATCTTTTTAGATATTGGAATCAACGTTATTTGTTGTTTTCGTTGTATGATGAAGGCATTATGATAGATGAAGGTATGAATTCCAATAAGTAAACTTTTAAGATTTGAGTAAAATTAACGATTTATCGTAATATAGAAGGATGGTATTCAGTGACACCAGAATATTTAGCAGAATATATTGCTAAACGTTGTGCTTGCGATACAATAATTGATGCTATGTGCGGTGTGGGTGGAAATACAATCCAATTTGCAAAGACGTGTAAAAAAGGTAAGCATACGTTTATTATCATGAAATATAGTATGTTTCCTATATTATTTTAACACAATTTTCTTTATTATAGTGATTGCAATTGATATAGATGAAAAAAAATTACATTACGCCAAAAATAACGCCAGTATTTACGGAGTAGAAGATAATATCGAATTCATTTTAGGAGATGTTTATGATTTGATACCTAAATTGAAGGTTTGTATCTCTTTATTATTTTACGTTAATATTATATATTGAATGACTTTTATTATCGTTTGTAAAAAGGCTGACGTGGTGTTTTTGAGTCCACCTTGGGGAGGGCCATCTTATCTTAAGTCAAAAGGTTATGATATTAAGACAATGATACCAGTAGATGGGTAATTAATATTGTATTTGTTCTTTTTATTAATTATCGTAATTTTTATTAATGGTTATTCAATGTAGCGAAAGATTGTTCCGAGAAACAAGAAATATCACAAAAAATATTGCATATTATGTTCCCAAATCTATAAATTTTGACCAGGTATGATCACATGAATTAGATATTTTAAAACATACAGTATCTTTGATTTAAATGCATATTCTTTATTATTTAGATGAGAAAATTATGCGATCCTGATGAAGTATGTGAATTTCAACAAGTAATTGTTTGGGAGAAAATTAAATCATATGTAGCATATTATGGTAACTTAGTGGGTAATCATTCTAGTGAAGTAATCAAAGTTCCAAAATATTGGGCCAATGATACTTCTGACAATTATATTCAGTCGGAAGAAAATTATGATAATTTAGTTGATAATAATCTTAGTAAAGAAATTAAAGTTTCAAAATATCGGGTTAATGATATTTCTGATAACTATATTAATTCAGAAGAAAATTATGATAATTTAGTGGGTAATAATCTTGATGAAGAAGTCAAAGTTTCAAAAGATCAGGTCAACAATACTTCTGATAATCATATTCATTTGATAGAAACCGAAAATAACAGCAAAAAAAGAAAAAGAAAAAGAAAGAGAAAAAAAACTTCTGAATTTATTCATTCAAAGAATATAAAAGATTAAAAAAGTAAATCTATTTATAGAATTATTTGTTATTTGTTAATGCAATAATACTTTTTTTACTTTTTATCAACCAATAATAATTCTTATCAATTATTTAAACTTAAAAATAAAAGTAATGGCAAATTATAATTAAACAAATTAAACAGTATTTGTTATATATATAACTTATAATTTATTATAAAATAAAAATATGTAATTATAATTGCTTTAATCAATATAGTTTTAAAAATTTATATTTAGAATAATTTTTATGTTAGATATATAAAAGATTAAATATACAAATAATCAAAAATAATTTTGATTATTATAATGCATTTTATTTATTATAATTTATAATTATTTAACAAGTAAATTATCTAATTTTTTTTTAAATTTTAATTTTAATAATATAATTATATAATTTTAATATAAATAAAATTAATTATTTTTATATAATATAATATACAAATGTTTAAAATATTTGATATAATTAATATAATCAATATAATAAAAAACAATAATTAATTATAATAAAAGTAATTATAATTATTATATCAGATTTTTTACTGCTTTATTTTTTAAATTAATTTATTTAATATGTTCATATATTTATTAATCGAAATAGTTCAAATTGGTTAAAAATCAGATAGCTGATTTTAGGCTAATTTTAATATTATTTATAACTTATTTGTCATATTTTTTGATCAGCATAAATACACGCTGATCAATGCTGATTAACTTCAATTAGACATAGCTATTCAGCATTAATTTAGAATTTAAATTCAATTATAAATCAACCTAAAATTGATCTCAATTCAGCATTAATTTAACATTAATTCAAAACATAAATAATCATAAATTAACTTAAAATTGATCTCAGTATGGTATCAATTCAGTCAAATAAGCATATAAAATCAATATATTTTATTTATTAATTTATTAAATATTAAATTTTATTAATAATAAAAACTTATAAAAAATATTATCAAAACCTATTGATTAATTTCTTATTTAAATATATAAGAAAATATTTATTATTATAATAATGCTATTTTTAAAAAAAAAGAATAAATTAATAAAATATGATATATTTTTCTTTTAAAAATTCTTCAAAAATTGTAAAAATAATAAATAAAATAATAAAAATAAAAAATTTACCTTTTCTCATCAAACTATTTGAAATTATTTTTTTCTATTATAAAAGTAAAAAAAATCAATTTATTATTTGAAAAGTTAACTGGTTAATTAATAAAATTCAACTTAAATTTTATCTAATTTTAATAGTTAAAAGCATATTTCTATTATAAAAAATAAAAAAAATAAATTTATTATTCAAAAAGGTTTTAAATTTACAGATGAATGAGAAATTAAAGGAAGTATAAGAGTTGTTTTTATTATTATTTAAGAAGAATATAATACATATTTAGTTAACCTTTAATGAATAGTATTTTTAAATATGTAAAAGTAATAGGATATTTTAAAAATCTATCAAATGAAGGAAATCTTTTACAAAGTATTTTAAAAGAGTAAGAATTATGCTGTCTTAAAATATAAATTATAATTGTATCTGAGTATCTTAATATTTAGAGTTAATTTAGGTCTAGTAGCTTTAGCAAGTGTATTAATTGTATTATTGTAATGATTATTTGTATAGGTTTTTACTTTATAGAACTCAATTAAAATGAATTTTTGACTGATCAATTTAGAATAAAGAATTAATCAGATAGTAGAAGATATTGAAGATAGAATTAAGTGTTAGAGTATAAGTAAAAAAATATTTCATTTTTAGAAAGGAGAAAATGACATTTTGTAAGTTTGTAAAAATATCAACAGAGGCATTGAAAGAGATGATATAAAGAGCAGTAAAAATAGCTACCAATTCTACTAGTTATAATAATAATTAAGAAAGATAAAGGATGGTATTAAAGAAGAGTAATAATTTAGATGAATCAGTTTGCAACTACAGAGGGTGATCATGGATACCCAAACGATAAGTATTTTTGTTTATTCGTTTTGTTTACATGTTTACATATATTTCTAATTTAAGCATTTGTTTAAGATATAAATAGATGTCAATCACAATAATAACAAATAATTTTCTTTCGAACAAAAATGGTTAAAACAAAAGAATTAAATGCTGAACAATATGGAGCAATTCTTTACGGTCACAAACGAGGTGATTCATATCAAAAAATTGCTGACATCGTTCAATGTGGTAAAATAACTGTCCATGATGTGATAAAACGTTTTAAAGAAACTGGTTCTGCAATACCAAAAAACGTTGTGGCCTGAAGCCACTTTTTGATTCAAATGCACAATCTTCACTCAAAAAGATTGTTATATAAAATTCAAAGCATCATCACCTTACCACTCAAAAAATTTAAGAATTATGGACTAAAAAAAAAAGAAAGTTTCAACTGTTACAATTCATCAGACTCTTAAAAAAGTTGGCTTACGTTCGTGTGTTGCCTACTCTAAACCATTAATTTCTGAAAATAATAAAGAAAAAAGATTGGCTTAGGCATTGGAACGAGAAGATTAGACAATTGCAAAATGGAAGAAAGTTGTATAATCTGATGAATCAACATTTAGCCAATTTTCACAAGGTCGTAGCTTACGTGTGTGACGTACACCAGAAGAAGAATTTGACCCTTCTTGTTTAACTGTTACAATAAAGCACAGTCCCAGTTGAATGTTTTGGAGATGTTTTTCGTGGTATGGGTTGGGACCTCTTGTTCCTCTTCGCGAATCTGTAATAGGACAAAGATATGCAAAAGTGTTACAGAGGCATGCTATTCCTTCAATTTACAAATTAGTTTCTCGCAAATAAGGAATTTTTCAAGAGGATAATGCTCCACCTCATCGAGTAAAGATTGCCACTGATTTTTGTAACGCCTCTAAGATTTCCATGTTACCCTGACCTGCACAAAGCCCTGATTTAAATCCTATTGAAAATATTTGGAATGAAATTGATAAGAAACTTCGTAAAGATGTAGAAGATTTAGAACGTAAGGTAAAATATGCTTAGCGTTCAATTTCATTTGAGTATATTCAAAATTTGGTTGAAAGTATGCCCCGTCGCATTCAAGCATGTATAGCAACTAAAGGTGGTTTAACAAAGTATTAGTTTTTATTTTTTAAATTATATTAGATTTTTATTATTAATAAAATTTTAATATTTAAAAAATTTAAAAATAAAATATATTAATTTTATATGCTTATTTTAGAATTTTTATTTGAAATAGAATATTTGAATATTTGTTTATAAATAAATAAAATTTAAATATTCAAAATTACATAATTGATTTCAAATATCAAATATCATTTCAAATATCAAATTGATTTTAAATATCAAAAATCATTTAAATATCAAATTGATATTGTATATCAAAAAATCATTTTAAATATTAAATTGATTTTGAATATTTAAGCTATCATTTTTGATTATCAATTTGATCAATCTTATCTGATCAATTATTTATTTTTTTTGCATTATATTTTCTTTCTTTTTTTTTGTTTTTAGTTTTTTGATATTTTTGATATTTTTTTATTTCTTTTTTTGGTATTTATTATATTTTTTATATTATTTTTTCCTTTTTTTATATATATATTTTTTTTGTATTAATCTTTTTAATATTAATTTTTTTTCATTTTTTTATATTCTTATTTTTATTTATTTTAATTTAATTTCTATAGTATGATCATTTGTCTTTGATTAAAAATTCTTATATATATAATCGTTGTTCTTAATGTAATAAAAATTATTTATCATATATTTTCTTTCTTTTTGTTAGGTAATAATAGTAATTCTATTAATGATTATTACTGAAACCTAATAGGATAACTGGTTGGTCTAATAAAATTTGAATTTTTAAACTATTTATTTTATTAAACAGCTTTTTTATTTTCTATTTCTATATCTTTTTAGAGAATTTTCATGTATATTTATATTAATTATGATTATATTTAATAAATAAAAACATTACTATGTCTTTAAAAAAAACAAAATATTATAGAACTACTTAAAATCTATATAATAGCAATTAAATTAAAAGAAGATAAATATAAATCTTTATAAATCAAGGCTACTTTTCAAACTTGATATGATAATTTTTACAATAATCAGTCAAAATATTTGATTCTATTCTTAATAGATGAAGATTATTCTTAACAAATATCTTGACAACTCAGCTGCTAACTTGAGATTGCTTATTTCTGCTAATGATGTCAAAAGAGAAACCAATAAATACTTCTAACAAATGACTAATACTAGACATCATTTTGTATTCATTCCTGATAATTGAAAATAATAATATGAACTATTAGACTCAATTAATTCATTAATTTATAATAATCTTATAGATCTTTCTAACAAAGATAAATAGTATAATCTTCTTTGCATACTACTAAATAACAAAGCTTTCAGTCCTTCAAAAATTTTGAATGAGATACTAAAATATCTAAATCCTAAAATAAAATATGTATTTTGGATGTTTATTTGTGTATATTTTAAATTATTCTATATATTAAATCATTAGAATTTAACTTTCATTTATTCCATTCCAAAATCCAAACTGTAAAAATATAATTTGAAAAATACTCATCCTATTACCTTATTAGAATACTCTCAAAAAGCTATAGATAAACTAATCAATAAACAGTTACTAGACATTTTCTTTAGATTCTCTATACTAAAAGGAAATAACTTCACTGGTCTACCTTTTCATTCTACTTTTAAACTAATTCATATTCTTGATAATATTAAATATAACTGTCTAACACATAAAAATAAATAACTTTGAATTCTCTTTTAAAATATGTCAAAAGCATATGACAGAGTTAATATTACTATATTAATTTGTGATCTTAATCATTTAAAACTTTCTCATCCTTTTTTTTAATTTATTATTTTACTATTTTCAAATTGGCAATTTTTATTTATACACGAGTGTATTATATATGGTTATGTAATATAGCCAGCATTAATATTACTTTACTAATATGAAGAAATTAAGAAATTA